GTTCCCCGGAGACGCTTATCGTGATTATCCCCTCCGGCGTGCGGTTGTACCAGCGACGATGTAATTGCCGGCGATCAGAGAGCCGCTCCTTTTCGTTCCAGTGACGACGATGAACCGGCGCAGATTAGCATTCCCGTATCGAAATTTTTTACCCGGGTCCCGGCGACGCGCGGTTATTGTTCCACGGACGGATGAAGACAATTCCGAGTCTATAAATAGAAAACGTGCCGGCCGCCGCGCCGAAACGGGAACTGAAACTAACAAACCACGGTTCCAGAGAAATAGAACCGCCCGCGGCCGCGTTCGTGCGTGCAGGCGTTCGCCCGTGAAATCCGAGTAACGGCGAGCGACCGATTAAAAAGCGAAATCCCGGCTTGATACGGGACGATCTCGTCGAATTATTTCCCAAGAGTTACGTGGAGCTGACCGAATTAAAAGAGCTGGGACTGAATATCGAGGATTAAAAGCGCGAAGAAAAAGCAAGAAGGAGAAAGCGGCGGACGCCTCATTGTTTCTCCCTGTTTCCTCCTTCTATCCCTGCGTCTTTCTGTCCCTTTCTCGTTGCAATTTGTTTTGGTCGTTTCGTCGGCTGGCGGAGTCGTCGCGCGGAGTAATTGTATTAGTCACGTGTGTCTGTCCGTCTGCCGCTAATGACGGATCACTTTGCAACATTGCTCCCGTCCGACCGATTCAACAACATCGTTCTCAGGAGGCAGATACACCATTTGAAAATTGCGGCGCCGCTTGCAACCTGTATAAACAATCGGCCATTACCCACCGTTATACGATAATCGTGCTTGACGTCAAATATTAAATGATTTCGCTGCGTGAATCAGGCTGTTTAAATTGTCCGGCTTGATTGAATGATGGCCGCTCCTCTAAGTTGGCCGACAACCACTTCACCGTAAATAAGATGGTACCCCATTCTGTACATAAGAGTCGCCTCGTTATACAGGGTGTTCGGTTTTTCTCTGCTGACCGAGCGGCAGTCTTCTGTTAAAATCTTTTTACCGTCTTCTCTGATCGAACGTGTCGGTTATATTATACAAATGATATCAGAGAAAAGAAAATGGAATTACAGCGAGCTGTCAGTGTTTCGATTTCGTTAGATTTAATTGGATCGGATAGAACTGTCGCGCAGCTCGACGCATAATTTTCTCGTTGCATAATTTCCCAGCGACACGCGGCTTCAACGTTCGTTTGCCACCGCGCGGTTTGCAAAAGACTCCCAACAGTGAATTGCGCAATAAATTCAGAAGTTATTCTCGTATTTGCACGACTCTTTCGCGCCGGAGCTAGAGCTTCGCACCGCTCGCGCTGCGATCACGTGCATACACGAAGGAGACGCACGTAACGAGACGTGCGAATTAAAGCGACGAACAGTTTAAACTCGCCGCCGTGGCGGGTAACGGATTTAGTTATACTTTTCGTGATCGCCGAGCACGTCGGTCTATTATAAATAAACGTAACAGCACCGTTAGGCATCGGAATAGGAAGCGGAATCGCGATCGGTATGCATGTTAAAACAAAAGCGAACGCTCCGCTCCAACATGTCCGCTTTGACATTGAACTTTCTGATGGCTGATTCTTAATGCAAATGATAAGGAACATTTGAAAAAGTACCGTTAATTATGTGCCTGTCGTTGACATGTGCCCCTTACATACCGCAACTGGACTGTCTTCGGCGTAAATGCCGCGATACTTCGGTTCTGTCAACTTTTTCTCGATAAAGTGTTTTGTGACACAATTTTTCGTAACTAGATATGAAACTTTGAAAAGCGCAAGAGACTGACCAATTTGTATACAAAACACGCATTCCAGATGTAACAGAGTTGTTAAGTTAACTTGTTTAGAATAAGTAATATTTTTGTATCTAATAAATTTCAGTTCAAAGGGAAGCTATTAGAAGATCTTTACGCCTTTCTAGCACATGCAAAATTAAAAAATATAAAAAATAATTCATTTGGTTAAACAGTGAATAAACCCATAACAGATAGAATCGTTAATGAAATAAATTTTTATAAATTTCTTCTATAAATATTTTCTCTCTGTAATCTGTAGCAAAGCGTTTTTATAATTAACAATTAGTGGGTCCAAAGAGCTCCCCGTTCAGATTTCCCAGGGGGAGTCGAGCCACGCGTTCCCGGGTTCACCGCGGTCGACTTTGATCGATACTTTCCAATTTTTCACGACGATCGGCCGCTCGAGTCGAGGGTCACAGCCGTGTGCCTAAAGCTGCGTTTACATTGCAGCTGCTCGATAAGAATATCGATGAGAGCGGAGCGTAGAACCTCTCATTCTTTTACTACGTAAACCTTTACGCTGAAGCAGAATAAAACGACTAAATCGATTCAATCGTTGATGCATTCTATTTCTCTCCTCTAGTCGGTTTAGTAATTGCCGTAGAAAAATAAACGAGTTGTTCATTATACCTGCTATATGAACCGAACAACCGAAACCACGCGATTATCGCAGCACCACAATAACAGCACCGAAAAAAGCTATCTCTAACAGCTTCTATCGACGATGTAATCGACGCCTTTTTCGTTAATATCGGGACCGCGATGTAAACGCAGCCTAACACGTGAGAGATAATACCGGCGACGCGACGCGTGCAATCGCCGTTTACAATTAATTTCTTCGGATGTTAATAATTTAATGGATCTCGGTGCGTTATCGCCGCCGTTCCATCACGCGTTGCACTCGTGTGTTCCCTGGCCAGCAGCTCGAAGCCATTGCACCCGCGTGCGTGAACGAGATCCGTCAATACCGTGAAATTATCGTGGACCTTCATGCCTCGCACAAGATATTTTAACTGAAAAAAGAGTTTCTCGATCGCTGTTTCGCGTTTCGTGATCGTACCCGTACAATCGTAAGCATTATTGGTTTCATAATCTATCCACCCTTTTACATAGCGCAATTATAAACGACAAGAAACGAGATACCGTTCCGGACAATGCGTAGTTAAGATCAAAATTAGCTATTCCGTTGCAACAGACAGGTTAAATTTCAATACGTAACCTTGCCCGAATTAAATGTGCGTTCGATTTGTAAGGGTATCTCTCTAATTGTGCTGTGAAAGGATTAACGATTCTTTTGATCGTATTCCGTTAATAAAGCTTTTCCTTTCACAAAGAAATAATAAATTGAAATAAAAATCTGTTATCGAGTCAGGGTTGAGAAACAATGTTCCCATTCACGACACGTTTTCGAATCACATGCGCGTGAGGTTTGCAAGAGTTGCCAAGCTACGGAAAGGTTAACGATACATTTAATTCCTCTTTCATTAACGAACCTCTTCCTTCCAAATAGAAGTAGTAAATTAGGAAAAAAATTCTTTATTGCGTCAGGGTTGAGAAATCAGTTATCGAATGACCGACATCGCCCGAATCAAGCAAGTGTTTCGTTCACAAGATTCCCTGATGCAGCTGCGATATAGGGTTAACGATACGTACGATTCCTCTTTTTATTAATGAACCTCTTTATTTCAAGTAGAAGTAATAAATTTACACATAATTGGGTTACGACAGATCGATTGTTTAAGTAGGATACAACATATCGTCGTAGGTACATTTCCGAAACTTCGGATCGTTAGGCTATTCCATATTATATATTAATCTATAAATAATCGGCTTAAGTACTACGTGTCGGGCAGTAGATAATGCTGTTTAATACTAGATCAGTGGGACACCGAGGGATCCCGGGGGCTCCGGCTGGCCCAAACAAGGGAAAACGTGTTTTATCGTTCGAAATCCGTCCGCGATCGGCCCGGCCGATACCGCGCGTTAAATTAAACGATAAATTGACTAGAGAGAGAGAGAGAGACGGCACGGTTACGTAGAATAAAAAGCACGAGCCTTCTTGATTGTCTAAGCTAATGCGTGGAATTATACCGTTACTCGCGGTTGCGAGTTACGCTAGGCGGTACGCTATAAATAATGTATAAATACACATCTGTCGTTTAGGTATCTTCGATTTGTACGTACGGTCTGGCTTTGGTACATGTATTGATCGTGGTACTTCGTGGGAGCGGTCAGTGGGAAGGGCGGGGAAAAGAAAAAAAATTTTGTAAACGCCTGTCGACGATGGTCATAGACCAACCAACCTCGGTCGACTGTCGCCCGGTTTGATCGTTCCGATAGGAACGGGCCGGATCAAAAAGCGGCGAAACGTGATTGTCGAGTCGATCGATCCGATCATGGAAATAAAACCTTCGCTGGAAACGGAACGTTTCCACTGTGGTGAGGAAGGTGCACGCTGAACTTGACCTAGTTCCAAGAGCACGCAGCTATGTGTGTGTACGGTTAATCGGATAAAATTATTCTTATCAAGTCGTGTGTCCTACCTCTTCCGTGGGGTTCAAAGGCGCACCGGTCGTGGCGGGAACAGAACGTTCGCAGGGACGAGCATTCTTGTCATACATCGCAGAAATGGTTTTCTTTGTCACTACGTTCACTAAGTTCGCTTTCTAGCACTTTGCTCACTCCCAGGTCACAAGAAAATCAATGTCGGCATTCAAAATCAACGAATGATCCTTCATGCGTCGTTCGCTCCTGGCCACCATTGAGACTGGTCTACGGACCGGAAGCCATCATCACGGATAGACTGGCAGAGTCAGTGACCGACGTCCACGCCTTGGTCACCCTCTAATCGAATCTTCCTCCCGGGTAGCAGATGAGCGGCGCGGCAGCGTCCCATCCGTCGATCTCCTCGTTTGACTGCGCCTCTCTTTTCTGGCAGTTTAAGATCAGCGTGCTGTGCCGCGGACTGCTGGGCGCGGATCTGCAAGTCGTCTGCGCGATCCCCGGAGAACCCAGCCGGAAATTCATCAAACCGACGCCGCTACCGCCGCCGCTGCTTCGCGGGAAATAACACTCGCTACCGATCGTCCAATTATTGCGGGCGTTCCGCGCTTCCGCTTGAGCGCGGCGCGTTTCTTTCGCATACAACTGCGCGTCCTGGTCGCAGAGCTTCTCCACGCAGGGACAGGAGTTGCTGGACGATCTCCAGCTTTCCACGCAGGATGACCTCATCGCGCAGGAAACGTTTGGCTTGCAGGGGCTGTTGTCGACGATAGATTCCAGTTGGCTGTTCGTTCGTGAGCATTTCTGGTCCAGCTGATCGGAACTCGCGAAACGAAGACGTTTCGGCGATTCACTGGAACACCTGACGAACGTGGACCTCGCTAGAGATTTATTCTTCAGAGAGCTTCTGGGTATCAATGGGTTCGTTGTACTGTTCTTCTTGCTGCAACCGCTACGACGGTTCTCCCTCTCCACGTTCCGTTCCTCCCTGAGGGCTGGGTCCTCGCCGATCAGCCAGTAGGTCAATCGCTCGCCTTTACCTTTCATGGAGACCAGACCCCTTTCTACTACGCTGAACCCGCCGAGCTGGTCTAGGAGATTCTTTGTCTCGTAGCTGCAATGTATTTTTAGCGCTGAAAGAAAAAGAAATTTTGGTTATTTTGTGGAGGGTGCTTAACGTTTGGGTTAATGGAAAACTTTGTGGACTATTTTTGAAAACAAGGCAAGCGAAATACGCTGACGTTTGTAATTAGATTGAAAATTATATGCGTTTATGGTGCACACAGTTTTCAAGTTGATTGCGGTGCACAGGAGATCTTTTAGATAAGTCTATGGTTGCATGTAGTTGCGTGCTATTATATAGCTTACGTTTTCAGTTTATGAAGATGATCAAAAAGTTATACACTATTATATACTATTATATTCTCTTGTAACTATTATATACTGTCGATATTGAAAATAAAAATTCCAGGTTGATTAGAATAATCTACATCAAAGTATGTTTGTTTTTTGTTCGTCAAAAACAGTTCACTGTATCTAAGAACTTACGCGATCCCGTAGACTCCATGCGGCTGGCAGTATTCACGGTGTCGCCGAATAGACAATAACGTGGCATTTTTAGGCCGACAACACCGGCGCACACCGGTCCTGTAGTGGAAGTAAAAGCGTGTCAATTCCGTTCGAACGAACCGTAAATCGCATCGCTAGTTTCCCTGTACCTACTCACCGGAGTGTATACCGATCCGTAGTTGCAGTTTATCAAGGGGCCTGTGCCGAATGGTGAACTGTTTAATGGCGTCTAGGAGGCACAAGGACATGCTGGCAATTTCTCCTGCGTGCTGAATTCCGTTCCGTATCGGCAGGCCACTTACCTATTAAGAAACAAGTGATTTATCGTGTCGGCCAGTTTATGTTACACTGCACCGGACTCTATTCGTTTTACGATTACGCTGAACTTTTAAACGCTCACCACCATGTACGCGTCCCCTATTGTTTCCACTTTGTATACGTCATAGTTCTCTATCGTGGAGTCGAAACAGGTGTACAAGTCGTTTAGAAAATCCACTACCTGAAAACGAGAGAATTTTAGATTTAAATATAGAAACTTTTTTTATTTAAACATAGAAATTGTGCTTTATGAGTAAGAGGTTTATATAAAATTGCGTGCATAGTCATCTATGCGGAATACTGTATTTGGAAACTAAAAACTTTGCTAAAGTGGAAATGATTTATGAAGTTATAAGTGACGAATAATTTTTATAATATATTTTAGACGATAGAAATAAGATATTTTTAATTCTTTGCAATGCGGAGCTTTTCAAATTAAGCTAAGAAATGTGTTTCAGATTCCTTGTTCTTACTTGTAAAGGAGTGCTCTCGGCACTCATAGCAGTGAACCCAACAATGTCGCTGAAATAGATGGTAACGGAATCGAAGCTCTCCGCTTCGACTTTGTGTCCCCGTTTCAATTGTTCGGCGACGTAGCGGGGTAGCATTTCGTAGAGTAAAGCGTCTGAAAGGGAAAACTTAAAATTACACAATCGGAAAGTGGTGGATAAGAAGCTTGAGCAAATCGAAAGAAAACTATTGAACATTAGCGACCTGTTTTCTTCTTCTCCTCTGTCAGTTGATCCGTTCGTTCGTCCACCAATGCTTCCAGATTATTCGCGTATTTCTCCATCATGGCCATCATGTTATCGAATATGTTTGGCTTCCTGAAAATACATGCAAAAATTAATTTTCAATCTCCCAAACTTCAATCACGCTTTAATTTTCTTAATTAATAAAATAGCTAAAGTGAAATTTGAGAATACAGAACGCAAAGAAAATTAACATTGATTAATAATAACTAATATCTTAAATTTTAACGGTTTCAAGTTTTATTAAATTTCAAAAATAATATCTCACACCACAAAGGAAGAAAAAGTAATAGTCATAAAGTGATACAATCCTAACATCTTCAAGGTTTAAACAAAAAAAATCGTGAAACGAAACCGAGGACTCACGACAAAAGCTAAATTCGTCAACGTCCCAGGTTCTAGAAAACCCCCAGTCTCAATTTTAAAAATCAGGGGACAAAATCGACTCACATTCCTTTTCTCAACGGCCTCAGCTTATTCCTGATAATCTTGAAGTCGGGGCGTGCCTCGGGGTCCTCTGCCCAGCACTCGACCAAACAATCCTGAACGAAATGGAAACAGTTCTCGAGTTGATCCAACGGAGGTCTGAGATAATTGAAGGAAAACAGTGTAGCTGACAGGGTGGAAACGGAACCGCGTGAAAACTCGGGCGCCTTCAATCTACGGGGGATCGAAACTTTTCGTCGTAATACCTGAACGGCTCGGCACTGTGCTCCCTCGCGATTACTTTCTTCAGAATCTCCGAATCGGAGTGCTCCGTGATCCCGAAAGGACCATGTCGTCCTTGTAGCTCGTACAAAACGATCGCGAACGAATAAACGTCGCCCCTTTGGTAATCTCGGGCGGTCGGCTCTTGGGTCCTGGTGGATCGCAGCAACTCCGGGGCTCGGTACAGGAGACCTGTTCGCGAAATTGGCAACGATAAATCGTTAAGTACTCGGTCGTCTATCCAATATAAAATATTCGCGGCTAGGTATACCGTGATACTTCTTCATGACGTCGCAAGGCTCGCACTCCGCATCCTTCTTGAACTCGTGCAGCCCGAAATCCGCCAGCTTTACGACCCATCGGGAATCCACCAGGCAGTTCGACGTATTCAGCGAGCCGTGATATTTTATGACAGACTCGTGCAGATAGATCATACCCTGGAAAATCGCGGGTACGTGAACTCGCCCGCTGATTCTGAGCCGGCCCCGGGAGCGTCGCTTTCAATCAACGTCGCGCCGCGTCGGCCCGGTTCAATGGAATTCGTCAGCGGTCGGAAGAATAACCGGTGAAATTCTGCTAGACGGATAGAACTCGTAAACCGGGAAAACTTTCGAACTTATCATCGAGTAAGTTCTTCGTCAACTTTTTACGAACGAGCTGTTATCCGAGTAAATTCGATTCGTCTAGAAAGGACAGGCTCCGGTATGGTTCAGTGACCGGTGCTTGTCTGGTAACAGTCTTGTTATATAGGAGGAATCAAATTTCCGGATCCGATAATTTTCATGGGAACGAAAACAAATGTAAAGGAAGCCTGTTGTTAGAACAGTTGACAAAACTTAGAGGATAAGAGAATCGTGGAGAGATTAATCGTGCTCGTTATGTGATTGTAGATAGCTTCCAGTTATAGGCTATTTAAGAAGATGTGGGTCTGTAATAAAATAGCGGACCACCTATGTCGTATATTTTCCAAGCTGTATAAAAGTACGGAGAAAATCTCAGTATAACGTGTTCTATGGTTCTTCCGCCAAATTTTACATGTTTTGCTTAAATTGTTTTAACATCCTTCGGCTCAGAGAACTTCTTGTTCGTACTTTGTAATTAATATTCATTGTATACCTCTCTGATTAAGTATTCGTAAATATGTAGCACAGCAATCTTGAGGCGTGCAATTAATTTATTAAAGGAACATGGAAGGCAATATTCCAAAGTTTGTCGATAACACTTACTCTGATGATGTCGCCGACCAGTGATGCCATGAACATATTATCCAGCTTCATGTCCTCATTTTCCAAGATATCCTGCGTGAGAAAAAGAAGAGAACAGGTAGAAAATTACAGGACACGATGAATTTTTGTTTACTTAATTACCGGCTACCTCCGCGGACGATTACCTTCAGACTGCCGCGTGCACAATACTCGACGACGATGCAGATGTTCGGCGGATCGGTGCACGCACCGATGAAAGCGTTTAAGTTATCGTGCCGTAAATCACGCATCTGAAGACAACGGTTCCTTCAATTTGCATATCTCTGGATCGCAAAAACTCCGCGGACGCGACTCACGCGCACTTACCACTTTCAGCTCCTTCTTCATTTCCCGCGTAATTTCGATCGATTTCTTCCGAACTTTCTTCACCGCGAATATCCGACCCTTATAGACGCCTATTTGCGTGTAAATCATGGAATATCGGAAGTCGGCGTCCGGATTAGAGCTCAGCGAGACCTGGCTGGTTCTCACGATGGGCTGAGACGTCGGCTGCCCGGAGAATCTTATATCGGCTTCCTTCCCTGCCTTATTTTCCACGAACTTTGTTAATACTTTCATGATACGTAGCAATGTCTTTCGTATATGAATGAATGTGAAGACAGATGTGTTCGGAAAACGGAATTGTATTGCACAACAATCTTGTGATGATTTCGCGAAAAAAGAATTTATAAAAAATGTAATAGAATAAAATAGAATAAAACTAATGGTTAAATAATGGGATACCTGTAGGAAATGCTAACTCTATTAGTTGCAACACTTTGATCTCGCTTTTTTTTCAAATGATCGATTAGGCTTTCATCCTTCAAAAGATTATGGAAAATTAATGTTTAATGCTTAGTAAAGATTCTCTGTTTGACGTCCTTCACAGAATTTCCCATTATATCGTATTCAGACTTCTATCGATTGAGCCATCTATTACCGGAATACATTCGATTTGAATAACGGAATATTTAAAGAGGAAAACGTCAGATGTTAGAATATCCAAACATTTCGGCATTCACAGAAAGCTTATTTACACGAAATAATGTCGCAAGATTCCATTTCATTCTCCGGTCGAGTTGATTAGTTTCAGGAGGCGTGGGGGTGGTGGACAGGAAATTGATTCCAACGTAGAGAAAATCAGGGACGTACCGTTTACATTTTGATAGGGAAATCTCCGGGAGCGAAGCTTCCTCGGAAAGTTCCATGGTATAAGCCACGTACGAGGGTGGTTTCCGACAAAAGGGGAATACAGAATTCGAGAAGGGGAAAGAGGAAAAGGTCAAAAAGTAGGAAGATTGCAGGGCACGACGTCCAACATTTACCTTGGAATTGCACTTGGTAGGCGCCTCGTTGACTACCGACTCGTCTTTCTGCTCCTTGATCTGAATATCTTTGTAATTCACTTTCCAAAGCAAGGAGTCCAGTTCCTGTTCGTACCGCCAGTTCCTGTATAGCACTAGGATCACCGCGGTAATGATTAGCAGGAACCCACCAGCGATCCCGCCGACGATTTCTCCCGTGTGCGCTAAAGACGGGGACGCAAACAATTTTGCTGTTTACTTAGAACAATTCATTTTAACACTAGGTTTACGAAACGCGTCAATTTGACATTAAATTTCATAAATATTATGTAGTAAATATTTACGTTGATTTTGATTAATGCAATTACATACATATGTACCCTAAATGTCTGTCTTTAAATTTGTAATTCCCAAGACCGAAATAAACGAACGTCAATTTTTCTGGGAACAACAGAATAAACTGTACAATAAATGTCCGTAAACCTATGTAGCGTTGAGAATGACTTGCTGCTCCGTGAAAAGAGTCGTAGTGATATTATTCGTCACAAGAAGACACTTTACTGCATAAAAAGAACATGAAGATTATACCATTTTAGTAATACACTAATGAATGATTACCCCTTTGCACTCGAGAGACAACTCTCAGTTGACATTTTGAGGTAGCAAGATTATAAAATTAGATATTTATTATTAAATTTTGCATATTTTAATTCATGAAATATTAGAATAAAATTATTTCCCCTAATTGATGTATTTTTCAATTTATGTATGATTTCTGTTTATGTTATAGATAATATTGTCGGTGTTTCATAAAAAAATTTTGATTATTTTTAGTGAGATATCTTTAGGGTGTAAAGGGTTAATTCGAAATATCTCAACGTTATTTCAATTGCGATGGAGAATCATAAAATATATTTCTTATAAACATTCTCCGATGAATGGCCATTACAAAAAATTCACAATGTTACATGGGAAGCAACATATGTCCGTTAAGGGTTAAAAAAAGGGGAAATGATAAATTTGAAATAGCACACGTGATCGATCCGATTGTCCAACCTCTCCCCGAGTGATCTTGAGAGAGGAAAAGAGATTTAGGTCAGAGATGTTCGTCCCCTTCTCTTTTAATTGTACCCCCGGTGTTCTCGTTGCGCGCGCTCGAAATCGGCCGCAATCGGTTGCGTAAATCGATAATCGCGATGCGGTTACGTGGTCGAAATACGTATTCGATCTCAATTAAAGGAAACGAAAATGGTAAACGCGAGAAGGGCGGAAGGTGTACTCTGCCCTCCCAGTTTCTCCTTTAAGTGATTTACATATGGTGATCTTTAAGGTCACGCACGGACAACTTTATAATGCATTTTTGAGAGGCGCTGCGTCTGAGAGAAAGCCGACGAGCGGGAATTCAATGTAGATGATTCTTGAGCATTTGCATTCTGCTTAGCCCTCTGAGAGATTGATTCTTTCTTAGAAGAGAATTTTAAGAAACCATTTTTTTCGCTATCAGTCGTAATAAATGAAAAATACAACCAATTTGTAAATATTAAATTTCTTGAAACCTCCCCTTTCACAAATTTTTAAAGATTTTTCTATACCATATAGTTTCAGAAACATACAAAGTCAAATTTTCAAAAGAAGCCTTTTACCGTTTAAAAGAAATATATCGTTAGGAGATAACTTGATGTATAGCAGAACGACACAGGTGCAATAGAGGTCTCTCGCTAACTGTTGTTTACAATTCTGATCGTTCACATACAGCCAATTAATGAATAATAAATTAATATCGAAAATGGGATACAAACAAAAACTAATCCATTACACCTGCATTCCTTAGTCTAGCCATCAAGCAATCTCCCAAGTTTACCTATCCAACGCGATCTAAATCAAGGCGAAACGGTCATTCATACGTACAGGTGCATTTTTCGCCGTGGTAGCCGCAATAAGGCTCCGCGATAGGTGGTCCATCGCCAACCCACGAGATCTCTCTTGTTAATCGAAGTATCTAGAACACGGGGGAGAAAATTCAGTATCGCCGAGGAAGCGCGAGAGTAAAACGTCTTACCGGCAGGTTCGTGCCGTTCTCTTTGCCGACGAAGTATGCTATAGGATATAAACCGTGTCCTTTTGTCGGCCGATTGTCCAGCGCGATCAGAGTGTAATTGCCTTCCGCATCACCGTTTTCGTCCATGTAAACCATGTACCTGGAGAAACAATATATCTCGTAACGCGTGCTGTACGGGCATTAAAGTCGTCGTAAATTGCGCCGCGGTACGCGTCGAAGTCGTTGCTTCTCGCCGTGTTCATTTTATTATTATTCGCCCCCCTCTCCCTCTCCCTCTCTCTCTTTCTCTCTCCCCCATCCCG